GAGTGTGTGTGTGTGTGTGTGTGTGTGTGTGTGTGTGTGTGTATGAGGGGATACTCCCCACCCCCCCAATGGAAAAAAGCTCCACTGGGCGGGACTTTCGCAGTGCACGTTTCTCCTACTGGGCAAGCATTGAGCAACTCGCTCTGAGTTGGGGCACCCAGTGGCATCACCTGGAAAGATTCTCTCTGGTCACAGTGAATTTTTTTGTAAGAGCAGTTTCACTTGAACCTCTTTTTTTGGGATGGCCAATTTAAGAGAATAGCATGCAGATGTGAAGTTTTGTTTCGTGTTCAGGAAAAATGCCACAGAAACTGTTGTGATGTTGAACACAGCTTACAAGAGCAGTGCTATGGGAAAAACTCAAGTTTTCTCATTTCCAAAAAGGTGAAATGTCGATTGATGACAAACCTCATTCTGGACGCCTGCCAACTTCCTGAAAGGACAAAAATGACAGCTTCGTAGTGCATTTGGAGTTCTTCCACCAGGTCAGATTGTTAATCAAGCTTTCCATGTAGAGATTCTGAAAATATAGTGTAACAGTGTGCAACAAAAAAAGCCTGACTTGTGACAGACTGGGTTTGCTACCAAGACAATGCACCTGCTCACACAACCATCTCAGTGTGCCAGTTTTTGGCAAAAAACCAGCATGCCTCTCTTGCCCCATGCACTTTCCTCACCTGACCTCACTCTGTGCAACTTCCTTTTGTTTCTGAGAATGCAGAGGGACATGAAAGGACAGCAATTTGATGACATAGAGGGGGTGAAGGAAAAAGCAAGGGAGGTGCTGTTAGCCATCCAAACAGATGTTTGAAAAATGTTTCCAAGAATGGAATCACAGATCTGACAAATGTATTAAGTGTAATGGAGAGTATTTTGAAGGCGATAAAGTTGTTTTGTAAAATATTTTAAATATGTTGCTTTGAAAAAAGATTCTGTTTTGGAGTGGGGTACCTCCTTGTGTGGGTATATTATGTGTGTGTGGGTGTCTTTCTAACATGACTTTCTAGTGGTGGAGTCGGGGATTCCAGGGCCCGAGAGTGAAGTGACGGCAGTTGTAGGGGTCTGAGGGTCTCATGCACACATACACACACACACAAACACACAACATGCATGCATACACATATATACACGTGTGAGAGTGAGTTAGTGCTTCGGGAGGCACGTGGACACAGGCTTTGGGGGTGCTCTCCTTCCCAGGCACTCAGCAGAAGGGCAAGGTGCTCCCTGAGCACCACACGGGGCTCCATCATCTCCTGTCTGGGGACTCTGAGCTCTCCAGGGGGCGTGGGGAGGGAGCTGGGACTGCTGACAGTTGGTTTCACCCATTCGGGCTCCCTTGCTTCCAGATGGGATTTAAACGAAAATAGATTCTCATTAGTGCTTTCTCCTCCTCCTGTTTGGAAGCGAGAGGGACGGCTGCTGGGGACCAGGGCGCTCTGATAATTAAAGCCATTACAGGGCGTCTCTACAGCTCACCGGCCTGAGATGGTGCCTGGGAAGCAGTGGGGGAGAGGACTGAGCCCTGCTACCATCTCAACACCCGGCCTTGTCCCAGAGAGGGAAGGCGTGGGGCAGGGGCACCCACGGGCCCAGCAGACTGGGGACAGCCGCAGAACTGGTGACTTCTGATCTGTGCTCCCACCAGCCTGGCACCCAGTCCTGATGGACACTGGAGGACAAGGAGCACCTCCCCGGAGGTTGGCTGGAGCTGGGCCGGACATCAGGGTCATGGGTTTTGGGTGGCGTCCATTGCTTGGAAATGCATGGGTGGTAGTGGAATGTGAAGAGTCCACGTTGTATGTGCAACTGCGGCCCGTGAGCTTTGCCACAGCTTTTGGAAGGTGGTGAGGGCAGCAGGGCCACCCACTGGCCAAGGGCCGGCTTCCCTGCCCACTGTGTGTGTCCAGCTCCTGGCCAGCATCTGCCCCATGTGCTCACTCGGAGATGTTAATCGGCTCCTTCCCATGAGGGTGCTGAAACCTGGGGCTCAGCATGAGAGGACGTGCATGGGCCAGCCAGTCCTCTGAGCTTCCAGACGGCACAGAGCCTTGGCAACACACTGCGCTCTTGCACTGTCCAGATCAGGCTCCAAGCCAGTCTCGGGAAGGCCTCTCACCCCAGACCGCTTCCCTCCAAGACATCCCACCCCCACCCGAACCCTGCCCCATGATGGTGGCCCCCACGCTCTAGTCCCTTGGGAGAGGGTCTAGCGGTGTGGAGAAGCCTTCCCTGAGCGAGATGCTGTCCACTGGAGCTCTCTGCAGTGCTGAGGTTCTCACTGCAGCAGGCCGGAGTGCAGGTGTCAGAGGCTATGAGAGGCTGGCCTGGCTTGGCTCACCTGGTGGGGCCCCCTCCCACAGAGGGCCTCAGAGACATGACACCTGGCCTAGGCCACACCTGGCTACCAGGAAACCCCCAATGTTCCTGGGCTGCTTTCCTGTCTTGGATTCAGGAAGATGCAGAGGAGAAAAAGCTAGGTTTGGGGGGGGTGGTGGAGGGGGCCCTCCGGCCTGCTGGGAAGCTGCCTCTGCTGTGGGGCTGGCGCGAATCTAGCTGGGGGCCCCTCGCTGGGCCATCTAGTCGGCTCAGACCAGGTCAGGGACCAGGACACAGGCACGAGTGGTGAGACCCTCCCTCAGCTGGCTGCTCCTGGCAAGCCCTCCCCGACAGGCCAACAGCCATGCCGCATCCCTGACGAAGAGCCCTCAAGCCTTCGCTGCAACCAGCACTTGCAGAACCTCCTTCAGCTGCACGAAGCTCAGCCCCCGCCGGCTCCCATAGCTGCTGGCCATTCGGAGAGAAGGAGCTCGGTGCAAGGCAGGCCCCATGTCCGCAGGCTGTCAGGGCCCTGGCTGAGGGATAAGCTAGGTGAAGCCTGGGTCTTAGAGGCACTCAGGGGCATCCACATTGCTGAAGCCCCACAAGAGAATGACCAGGGATGTGAGACTGCCACCCACTGCCCCACCCCGCCATCTGTGCTCCTTCCTCTCCCTCCTGGGCCCTCGGCGTGGTGGGGAGGGAGATCCCTGTGCCGTGCCCCATGGGAATCCACAGTAGCGTTGGCCCCTCCTTTCTCAGACAGATCCTCAGCTCCCACTTTGACTCTCCGGCACCGGAGCAGGAATCAGGGACCTTGGAAGTTGTGAGAGGCCAGCACACCAATGCTCCCGGGACATTTCCCACCGAAGTCTGCAGCCAATTTGGGGGAGAGGGGGACATGGCATGGGCCGGGGGGCTGTGGGCGTCAGGAGAAGCTTCCTCTTGCTGATGGAATTGTGGGGTTTTGGTGGGTCTGTGTGGCAGCGTCTGGTGGCAGGCTCTCCTCTCAGCGGCTCCGGAAGGAGGGCGCCCCTCCTCTGTCGAAGGTATTCCAGGGAGACAGCTGCCCAGGCAGCCACCAAGTCAGAAATCAGCCGGATGACCCACTAGCAGCAGAGAGCGTCACACAAAGAATACTGCTTTATTGGGTCTATGCTCAGACTACAAGACAGCGGTGCAGATACCAGACGTCTTCCTGGGCGCAGGACCATCTACTGGGGGATTGCATGCAGGGGCTAGGGCTGGCCATGGGCGGTGGGCTCCGGGCGCAGGCGGGGGTGGGGGTGGGGGCAGGCCCCTCTGCAGGCAGCCTGTGCCCATGGTGTGTCGCCCCTGGGTGCAAACGTTATAGATATAGCTAGCAGAGAGGACGGTTCTTTCTGCGAGTTAAAAACGTGAAAGAGGGTAAGACAGCGCGGCACAGAAGAACATTCAAAAACCGATGCTTTCTGTGAGAGAGCTCTTTTCTGCGTTTCTTGACAACTTACAGCCACCACCCTGGTGCAGTTCAGGCATGTTCCACAGGGTGGCGTTGACTCCCAAGGCACAGTTTCTTAGGTCAACCATGGCTGTCAGACCCTGCCCCTTGTCCTATGAAACAGTGGGTCACTGCTAGTCACAGAGTGTAATAAGCTGTTAGCGATACAAAATGCAACAGCAGAGGCTACGCTAAACTATCTGCTAACGGGGACTAACTGGAACACAGACATGACTGCTACTGAAACATAGTTTTTGGTAATATTTTCTCATAGACGAAGCAGAGTTATAAGGCTTCAGTGAAGTAGTAATATTATAACTGGACAAATATATTACACTCCTTTTATAACGATATTTACAGTCCCTTTCCAACTTTGCCGTGTGGTGACGTGTGTGTGTTTCGAAGGCCTTTGCTGTCTAAAGTGCTTGTGTAACTGCGTGAGCTTGGGGCGGGAGATGCTGACCGGTTGGACTGGGGTCCTAGATGAGCATCCCAAAGTGGACGTGCCTACGGCGAGCTGTGAGAGCCTCTTGGTGAGGCCGACAGCCTCCCTGGTATGTGCATATAAATACATGCCTGCGTATGTACACGCATGCAGACGCAGGCTGGCTACACAAAGAGGCGGCTTCTGTCCGATGGCCCTTCCTGGTGCTGGTCGCCTTGCTGGTGCTGTCCTGGGAGCTGGGTTAGAGGCAGGACGCCTGGCTGGTACCTGCCGACAACCCAGCACTGAGTGGCAGACAGCGGGAGGGCAGTCCACATGGAGAGGCCTGAGATGACCACTGGGAAGAGTCCACACCACACGGAAGGGGCCACGTGATGGCCCATGGCAGCCCGGGAGAAGCTGAGGAGAGGGAAGACACTCATATCTGGGGTCCCCCCAGCCCTCAGCCTGTCACAACCTACACAGGAAGCTATGTGCGGGACTGGGACCCCGTGCCCAGAGGGCACATCTTGGGGTCAGACTTCAACACTAGGCCCCAGAAGAGGCCCCACAGGAGGGGGGCTACACAGCATGCCACCCCCACATGTTTCTGCTTGAGATGGCTTTTCCTCCAGAAGGTGGGGGCTGTTGTCTGGCTCCGTCCCTCCTTCTGGGTGCGCCCACGCCAGGCCTTCAGCCCCGGACACACAGGACCCAGGAGAGCTGAGAGGTTCCAGGCAACGTCCCCACTTGCTTGGCAGAAATCATTGGTGCGGAGGGTGGGTTGACCTCGGTGGGCACGTGGCGGCCTCTGGGGACCCCGGCATTGCAGACTAAGAGGGGTTGCTCGTGCTGCGTAGGTCGTTGCGGATGACTTCGTTTACTGCAAGGACACAAACGAGGAGGGTGTCAGGGCACGCTGTCTGCAGGCAGTGAGCAAGGGGGCGTCCCAGGATTCACTACGTTCCTGAGGGTGGGCCCCGGGGCCCCAGGAGGGGACAATGTTCCTGAGCAGCTTGAGAGGCACCCGCCTGCCCACCCAGGCCAGTGTCCACCAGGCCAGTGCCCTGATGCAGGCGTTTCACGTCCCCTTGCCACCCAGCAGGATGGGGCCCTCCCAGAGCCCCTGGCCCGGCTTCCTGTGGCCCGTCACTGCACAGGCCACGTCCAGAGAGCAGCTGGCCAGAGGAGCCTCGCCTGGCAGCTGCCCGGCTCTGCCCTTATTCTCAATGTCCCTGCAGTGGCCGGCCGACCGACAGCTTCCCACGCCCCGACCCATCCAGCGTCAGCTTGTGATTGTTGGCAGAGGGGCAGGAAGTGGTGGGACCTGGAGTGAGCTCCCGATGGTAAGCACGCAGCACTCTGGGGCCCTCCCGCAGCACCACAGGCCTGAGAGCGGAAGGTCACAGGAAGGCTCCCTCCACGCCACGCTTTCCGACCAAGCAGGGAGGTGGGCACTGGCGCTCGCGTCACGGAATGACCGGTGCCCGGAGAGGCTGGGCGCCGAACAGATAAGCCCATGTCTCTGCAGAGGCCCCGGCCTGTCTCGGGCTGCTTCCTGGAGCAATCAGCTGGTGGACATTTCATCACCCACCCGGCCCCTTCCCAGCCCCTCCCAGCCCCCCATCATTTGAAAGAATAACAATAACAGCAAGTGGTGGAGGACCAGGAATTGTGTCATGGGAGCTGATAGCAGACGCATCAGGAGCCCTGCTACAGCCAACACCCAGCCTTGCCCTGCCCCCAGCTGTGGAAGGGCATGTTTGGCTGGACTGCCCCCTGCAAATGCAGAAGCCCTCAGCGGGGACACACTGCTATGGGCCTGCATAGCCACAGGGCCAGGTCGTGGCCAACAGAGCCATGGAGTCCCCAGTAATGGCCTGGATGGAGAGCCACCGGGAGAAAGAGGCTCAGCATTCTCAGGGCTTTGACTCTGGTACGGCCCGGGTCTGATCGCTACTTTACAGAGAACTGCCACACCACAGCTGCTGCCCCCGGTGGCCGAGCAAGGGAGACTGCTGCACGTGGAACTTTTCTCATCTGGTCCAGTGCTAGACCTTCCGAAGACACTGTTGCAGGAGGCTGCTCCCAGGCAGAGATGTGGGACCCCCTGATGGTCTCACGCTTACCATGGGCTGCCACTTTCTAGTGGGCCACTGGGTCTGGGGTCCTCACACGGCCCAGTGAATGTCCTTTTGAGGGCACAGCAGGCCTCTGTGTCACGTGAGCCTGCATCCAACCCGGTGGCTGGCTGTTGCGCTTATGTCCCCACAAGGTGGACAGGGCCAATGCCCGGCACAGATGAGACTGCTTGTGCTTGGCGTCATTCAAAGTGCGAACAGCCAGCAGGCACCACTTGGCTTTGGTGTTCTTGACCTCTGTGCTGTTTAAGGAGCTCCGTGGAGCTGTGTCCATCACATTTTAAGGACCATGGAGCCTGGGGTCAGTTTCTGACCCCTGATGTGAGCAGCGCAGACAGGAGCAGGAGGCAGGTGGGGGTGACTTGCACCCTCGGGTGACCCCGTGTGGACACACCCTGCAGGAAAAAATAACATCTGTGTGCAGAGATAAAAGGGGAAACGACCTTCGCCGTGGGCTTCCCCTCAGCCCACAGTGCACCTGAGCCCAGAGGGAACTGGGGGGCCAGGGGAGGTGGCCTATGGGCAGGAAGTCACCTAGCCTGGTACAGAGTCACGTGTCCCCTGGGATGACCCGCCTCCTCTTCAGGGCGGGGAGCAGCTGGAGGGGTGTGGGGCAGAGCTCACGACCTACAGCTGTGTGTGGATGTGCCCGGAACATTCCATACAATGTCTACACATCAGTGTCATCCGACATATCCATGTTCCCAACCGATGCCGGCGCACATGGGCGTCCCCACAGCTCATAGCTCATGATGGCCTCCCCGCACCTGACCATGTCCACGTGTGAACACAAAGAGCAATGTCTCAGGGGACTCATGTCTGCTCACCCAGGTACACACTGATGACGGTGCAGCAGGAGACTTTACCATTCCCCACCCTGGCGGCACAGTGGGTTCTTGCTGGGTTACTGACCTCAAGGTTGGCCTTTCGAAACTGCTAGCTGCTCCGTGGGAGAGAGATGGGTTTCTGCTCCCATAGCAGGGACAGTCTCGGACACCCACAGGGGCAGTTCCACCCTGTCCTGTAGGGTCGCTGTGAGTTGGCATCCACTCGATGGCAGGGAGTTTGGTTTGAGAGCTGGTGGGACAGTGGTGAAGTGCTGCAGCCCGCCAGCCTCTCCGTCCAGGAGGCAGTGGAGGCAGTCTGTTTCCCTAGCAACAGTGGCCATGGAGACCCGCCTCTGCCCCCGGGGCAGCTCTGCTGGGGCAGCAGGGCCCTGTGACTGGATAGCCAGGGTGTCCCTGTGGAAAACTGTGCAGCTGAAGGGCCAAGCTGTGGTCGAGCTGTGGTGGCAACACCATGCGTGACCCCCATGTCCCTCAGCCACAGCTGCCTGCTCTCCACCGTCAGCGTGGCAGAGTCCCACCAGCACCCAGACCCCTGACCCCTGATCCACTGCCTGTGGTGACCCCCACGCCACGTGGCTGTGCCGTGGCTGCCCACGTGCCCGGTCCTCTCAGGGACACTTCCGTCTCTGATTCAGCTTTTCCACTGAGACGGGTGTGGAGCTGCAGGCGGCAGGTGACCGTCTGTGTCAGGCAGCCGGAGGGACCGTTCGCTCTCGGCTTCACGTCACTCGTCCCTGGGGCAGGATGTGGGGAGTTGTTAGACCACACTTTAATTTAATAAGAAGGGGTTTTCCCTTTTATTCAATTTTTCTCTAAAATGCTCCTAGGATGGAAACTATTGTGTTTTTTTCCCTAAACTTCTGTGTGGTGGCACCCCTGCTTCACTGGGGATGTGAGCCATCGCGCCGCCCACGGGCGCCCACGCCCCCACAGCCCTTGGAAGTCGTGTGAAAGAGGACATTAGAATTTGTAAAGCTGGAAAGTACAAAGTGCCTGCGAGGCTCTGCTCAGCCGCGTCTCCCGTCAGGGCTGACGGTGTGTGTGACAGAGGGCCACTTGTCACAGACCCCTCCACAGAGGACCATGCAGCCTGGCTGGCAAGCAGAAGGCCCCTTAGCAGAGACTGTGTCTGTCTTCTCTCCAGCTCACCATTCTGGGGCTCGGAGTTGGCGTCCCACCCTGGGGTGTGCATGGCTGGGGAGCATGACGCAGCAAAGTGCAGATGTGGCCTTGTGCATGTGGGCGAGCAGAGCAGCATACCTGCTGGGGTCCCTGGGTGTCTCTGGGGCAGCAGCAGGTACAGACGGGCTTCACGGCCTCACAGTGTCTCAGACTCGGCTGGGTGCCCACTTAGGTCTGAAACAGCACCTCACAACCTGGCTGGACCCAGAGGACATGCGCTGAGTGAAGGTAGCAGTCACAGAAGGACAGTGGTTATAGGGGCCACCAACATCAAGGGGGAAAACCGACCGAGGCTTTCCACGGGAAGGAAACAGACTGGCCCCGCTCAGTGTTGGCGAGAAGGCAGGCAGGCCAGGGCTGGCGCGGGCAGCTCTATCGGGACATACAATGGGAAGTAAACGAGAAAAGGCAAAGGCTCTTATGCACATCATGGTGATTGCATTTGTTTGTGAATATCTATCGATGGCTCTTGAATGCTGTTTAGACTGCTGGAGGGCAGGATTGGCTCTTCCATCTCCAAGTTTACTGACCCTGGGGTGGAGGGCAGGTGGGCATTAGCTTGGGCACAGGGGTGGGGGTGGAGTGATGAGAAAAATGCACAGTCCACTCTCAGAACTTCCAAGGGCGTCTGCTGGGCCTGGGTCAGCTCAGAAGCAGCAGGAAACAGGATTTTGGAATGTCGCCCCAGAGGTTTTGTCCAGGACATTGGACTTCACAGGAAGCGTAAGTACATTGAAAACTGCATGGTGAGCCCAACCCGGGTCGCCTGTGAGGAGTTTCCCCACCTCGGCAAGGCACCTGCTCATCCCGTGCGGGGACGAGGGTTGTGCTGGCAGAGTTCCGCTGTCGGAGAGACCCGTCCCTGCAGAAGGACACTGTGGCTGGGAATGTGGCGAGGGCCATCAGCCCGACAGACGGACACCGTGACTGCAGCAGTGGGCCTGAAAACAGGAACCACAGTGAGGACGGGCAGGACTGACCCTGGGCACCTGACACCACCACCATGTCCACCGGACAGCCCTGAACGTGTCCCGTCAGACTTCCTGTTTGCAGCCAAGACTATAGAAAAGGAGTGTGGTGTGAGCCCCTAGAGCAGCGGTTCTCAACCTGTGGGTCGCCCGATTCATAAAAGTAGCAAAATTACTGTTGTGAAGTAGCAACAAAAATAATTTTATGGTTGGAGGGTTACCACAACATGAGGAACCGTATGAAAGGGTGCCCAGGCCACCGCTTCTCCATGTTGCCCCGGGGGAAGGCCGGGACCACCCCTTCCTGAGACAGTGTAATTTCAACCAGACTCCCCACCATTACATTGATGCTGACTTGCAACGACCCCATAGGACAGGGCAGAACTGTCCCTGAGGGTGCTGAGCTAGCCCCAGAGGGAAGGAGCACGTGGTTTTGAACTGCTGACCTTGGGGCACGCCAGCAGCTCCCGGTGTGTGCTCTCCGCCCCAGGGTTGCAGACAGAGGGGGTGCTTTGCTGGTTCTTTGCTTAGTGAGGTACGGTGACCACAGCCCTCACCCATGAGGCCTCACTCCCGGCCTCCTCCTCAAGCAACGGTTTGTAGTTTCTGAGTCTGTGGGTCCCAATAGCCAAGGAGGGCTCACGCCCCAAACCTCCAGCTCCCAGCCCCAAGCACGGGGCACGCGGCTCCTTGGCCTGACCCTCCTGCTCACATACAGCAGCTCATGGACCCCCCTTTGGGGGG